ATGCCATGGCTGCCAGATATATCTCGGCGAGATACGACCGTGCAGTATCGTGGAGACATGGCCCTTTCAAGAGTACAGAGGTGTAGCACAGGCTACAGGGGCACATCGAATGCTGCAGCTCATTCGCAAAGCCTGGTAAGCCCGCTTATGTTTCAGTCACACTGAACTGTATTCCATTCCCTTCCAGCTACTTTCGACATTCCCTCGTCATCCTCCCCTTCTCCTCCAACACCTCGATAACATCCCTGCACCCTGCGACCCTTATCCGCCATCGAATCCCTCCATCGCTGACGATCCGCTCGCCCGACTCTCCCATTACTATCCCTTTCCATCCAACTCGCCCTCACCCGTACTATCCGGCGCATATCATTCAATCCCGCTCTCCTCGTTGCAATCGGAAGATCACGCCTCACGAATGACCCGACCGTCTCATCGACGGTACTTGACTGACCTCTCCGCGCTGAGTGCGTCAATGCCGAATCATCGAACGCGCCGCCTCGTACCGAAACCAGACCGCGCGTCGGGGCCACGCCGCTGCGATAGAAGACGAAGACGTGCCTTGCGCTCACCGCTGATGCAAACGGACCGCGGCGTGGACCGTGATTTGACGCGATGCACAGCAGATGCTGGGAAACGGTTGACACGGTGAGCATTGCACTTCCCTACACACCTGCTACTAGATTCTTCGCGCGTACATGTCGACTAGGGCGGTCTCTACGCTCAATCGCCCTGTTCGCGTTGAGAATGCTGTCGACCTCGTTAGATGTGTGGATGACCAGAGCGTACCGAGACGCAGGCGAGATGTTGACTACGCGGATACTACAAATGACGAGGCGCACGACGAGAGACGGCCAAGACCGATTGCAACCGTCATTCGCGCTCACCCGCATCGCACTCGGGCTGGACATGCCCTCGTGCGCTCGTCGCCGTCCTGCTGTCCGTGGCTTTGGACTGCGAAGCAAGGCATGGGCACTGATCACGACTGTGACCGTCGCGCTGACAATCCTACAGACAGCATGATCAAACAAGTGCGCAAGAGAAACGGGGGGATGGCCTACCGCATGCCAAAGCCATCATTTCACGCAGTCTCCTTCGCCAGAACACGCGCAGGACTGGCGCTTTCACGACAGGGCTTGAGGCTGTGAGCGTCGCATCCCGCCATCCATTGTCGTCGTCCCATAGGCATCCTGTATCCAGCGTGCCACTATCCAGCGACCGGTCGGAGATCACACCTGACGTCTCAGAAATACCCGCATCCGATGCTGTCTGATGCAACTGGGCTATTCCGGCGCACTTCAAGCGATATTCGAGCAACAGAAGCTGCGACGGTTGACTCGCAGGCCGCAGAGGCCGACCATGACCTGCCGCAGACGGTAGACCGACCTAGGAGAGCATCTCGCGTTTCGCGTGTGGTATAGAGGTCCGAGCTGGGTTTTGATGACCGCGTTCCCTGACATTCACTTGAGGTTGCTGTAGGCCACCATGTCAACTGCCGTGCAAGATCTGGAATTAGTCCAAACAACTTACCTTGTTCGTTAAAGCCCCGCATCCAGCGCAACATCTTCGATATCGACCGTGAGCTTGATCCATCGGAAGGCGCCGCTTGACATGGGTAGTGAGTGACAATCCGACGGTCCGATCTCAAATGAACGTGCTCACGTTTTTTTTGACCGCAGCACAGGCTTGAGCCTACCAACATGGAGGAAGGTGGTCTGAACGCGAAGTTCGTCGTTTCCTGCGCCTTGGCCATTGTTGGGCGAAAAGCGAACGGAGGATGAGAGCCCAAGGCGACATGCGATGAGAGACGAAAGTGAGAATGCGTACCACGAAAGTGGCGCCTCGGACGCACCTTGACGCGCACGCGCGACTTTGCCAACAAACGGCAGCAGTTAACGCGCCTTGGATGCGTTCGA